CTGAACTAGGTCCAGGGTTGCCCTTAGAAGCACCATCAGTATTACCCTTGAACCAATTTATCGGAGGTGGAACCCATTTCACCACTTTGAAGTTATAAACTACGCTATACCCTTCCAGATACTGCACAATTAGAGGCCAATTATTCAAACCAAAATTGCCCTTACATCGGAGCTTAATGAACTTCAGAATAGTGTTATTAATTTCTTTTGCATTCAACATGACCCAATTATTCTAGCCGCTCTAGAGTAATACGACCATATTCTGGTTGCGATCTCTCCTCTCAAGAACAAATGATTAATAGACTCATTCTCAGGAATGTTACAACACCTGCAATTCTGAGAGATATTAGGATTCCAAGCATGAATGACAGTAGCCACATGTACTTTTCCTCGCCAAATCCTCCAAGCTAGAAATGAGAACTTGAAAGGTAAACCTTTCACCTATAAAGATTTGAAATCCTCATTAACATTCTCCTTTTTCCTTAGCACTTCCCAAACACTCTTAACATTGAAATATCCAGTACTAGATTTGGTCCACCAAGGTTTGTCCGCTAAATCTTCCAACTGTAGAAACCTCATATTATGTGTGATATGATCCACTACATATTCAGGAACAGCATCGTGAAGAGCATCAAAATCCCAGCTCTCCTCATTAAAAAGGTCCCCTATATCTCTCATGATCTAATTTCTCAGGTCATGATGAAACCTACTATAACCTACAAGTAGGTAAGCCAATCCATAATCGCGAGAAGAAAAGTAAAGAATATAAGGGTAGAAACAACATGAGGATAAAAATATCAACAGAAATAATAGAAGAATAATGTGGACGCAATATATATATATTTACAAAAAAGAAGAAGGTGTAACCTATAACTGAGAAGTCACAAGTACAAAACTATTACGAAAATAATAGAAGTTCCAAAAGTGGACCAATATATACAAAGTTGTCTCAAGAAACCAAAAGACTAGTCAAATAATACAGAAGGAGACAAGTATGATCCAGGAAACCATAAGCTCAACTCGCTTTCGAATCCTGCGGCAATTTGCTTGAAACCAACGTTGATAGCTAGTGCTCCGACTTGCATCACAAAAATATATGTTAAGTGTAGTATGAGTACCAAAACAAGATGTACTCATTAGGAATCATAGGTTGGCTGAGCTAGAAAAGTAAAGGCAATATGAAAAACGGGAATAAAAATAGTATAGAGGTCAAATAAGCGAAGTTCTATAAGATATGCACACTAGTGTAGAAAGGAGAGAAAAGAGAACAAGTAACTAATTATAACATACCACATAAGCTCAGAAGGTACACTCCCGCAATTTTAAGTAAGAACCTGAACGGACCCTCATAAGCTCGACAAGTACACAGAAGAACTATCACTACTGAGAATAGAACCCTATGAATCCAGAGCTAGTGAGTGCATAACCTGAACCTTGAACTGCGGATGAGACTCCCAAAAATAACCAATAGGATTAAGCCAATATATATAAATTCGCTAAATGATAATGAGTTTGAATCATGGATTGTGGCTCAATATCATATGTCCATACCTAGTATCTACGACTAAAATAGGGCTGCATGACCATACCTCGAATATGGTCAAATCCCAAACCCATATCATCATCATAAGGACATCGTGGAATGACGTCCACCTTAAGGCAATCAACATAACGCTCCAAACCGAATCCAATCCAATCCCAAAGCATCAAACGAAGCCTGAAATCACAACCAAGAATCACTAGGGCCATAGAAAGAGGGAGCTATGGACAAATGGTAATTGGAGCTGAGGTACCACCTAACTAAGGCTCATTCTATTAGACCCAAGTCTGCTACATCAGTCTACAGGAAGCTAAGTCGTCCGAAGTAACGTTGGAGCACTTGTAAAGCCTATCAGCTCCAAAAATGCAAGTCTAAGGCAAACACTAGTCTAATCCTACACTAAGGCCAATCATGCTTTCAACAACAATAATAAATAGGTATAACACATGCCACAAGGTAAGGATGGTCAGAAAAAGGGAAAATAACATGCTAGCAGCCTACAAAACCCATAATATAGCCTAAAACATGATTTCTAAGTAACTAAGCTTGATCAACTAGCTACCCAACCCAAATTTAAACTAATGAACATGCATTTACATTCAAGAGCTCAATCTAAAGATTGGGAAGCCATAGTCTACCTCAATGCAAACCACAAACGTTCCAAACTCACAATTTCAAAACTTTTCCCCTCCAAACGATCTTCAAATGCTTCCACGCTAACAAAAATAGAATCACAATGTCAATAAGGATGCTTTGACATCAAAAATTCAATAATCGGAGACGGGCCAAATTTAGGTCAAAACAAAAATGTGGGACTCGTTCTGGGAATCCAGAAATTGACTCCGTCAAAAGGTTCAATTAAGCTCCCCAAACTTGCATTCTAAAACAACATATAATTCGGGGCCCGATACACAACATGCAAGAAAATCACTAAATGATCAAAAATTAAGAGGAAAAGTAGCCCCTTCAGAAATTTTTTACCTCAAATAAGCAATCCCCGAAGCTCCCCAAGCACAAATGAAGATCAAACTCCCCCGATGCAACTAATGAATATCACCCTATTTGGACTCTCATAGCTCCCAAAATTGCCAGATGAAATATTAAATCATAGCTAGCTAGTTCCCATTTCTTTTAATAAAAGACCAGACGAACTTATTGATGTGCCATGGGGGCACTTGTAATGCTTTAAACTTGGGATTTTGCGAGTCTTTGAAGAGAATGTTAGTAGATTTGATTTTGTTTTGCAGGAAAACAATTTTTGGCAGCTTAGGTAGATAAGACACGGTTAGAAGTATTGTTTTTGACCATCTATGAGCCAGAATCGTGGAGTCCTCTCATGGATGGTATTGAATTATAAATCTTCAGGACATTTTCTATGGGTAATTATTTGGTTGATTATTGAATATGGTTTTGGGGTTCTAGAGAACCCAAAGTAGACACACTCTTTGGCTTGAGAAACTTGCAGTTTAGCCGAAATGCAAAGCAATACATGCTATAATTTGTTCTAAGTTTTCTAGTTAATACCCCCTCTATTCCATATTAAGTGAATTTGTGGGGAATTGCACACCTATTAAGAAAAATATTTAGGACATAATTTAAACCATATTTTCCTCAAGTACCCTTTGTGAAATCATAAATATAACTTTTAAGTATTCAATTTATCACCTGAAAAATATAAAACTTCATTAATGGAAAAGGAAAATATGGAAAAAATTCAAACATTTATCTTGAACTTTGAACACTTCAAATTATTTTGAAGAAAAAAAACCTAAAAAATTCACTTAATATGAAATAGAGGGAGTACTATAATCAAGGTTATACCTATCGAATGCACACCCCTAGTCCCTTCAATCTTGATACCAGCAATTGTGTCTTGCTTATGTGCTTTGATTTACAAACCTTAGTGAATCTACATCCAATCTCTATGGGAAATCCACCCCGACTCTTGTTGGGTACTTTTTTTTTTGCATACGATCGTTTCCACCTCCTTAATTAGAGAGTTGTTTTAGACGTTATTGAAAATGTCACCATTGTTGAAGATAGGAAATTGATTGTCATTTGTTTGTTTGTTGATTCACATTTGTTTGGCCTCTTGCTTTTCTTTTACGTTGTTTTGTTGTTTTTGGTGATTGAACATGATAAGAGATAAGTCAAGCTAGTACTGATGGGTTCATGGATGTCGATCGAGGATGAAGTTGTGGTAGCACATGGTGTACCTAGGGTCGTTCGCCTACCTCCGACAATAGGGAATGTCGTTTTTCATGTCACTAGCACCAGAGGCGAATCTAGGATGATCCGAACATGGGTGCACCAAGAAAAATGTATTAAGTGGGAATTGATCTTTAGTCCCCAAAGTCAAAAGCTCAACATTTAACCATGTGGATCAACTAGAATTTTTATAGTACGGGTGCAAGAATATAATATTATACAAATGTTAGAAAATATATACATAAAATATCTAATTTTACGAAGAGACCACGGGTTCGGGTGCCCTATTTTTTGCACCTAAATTTGCCACTGACTAGCACTATGCTACATCTAAGCCAGATGAAAGGATTGTTTAGAGACAACAATAGGGAATGCCGTTTTTGTCATCCTTTCAACATCACAAACATTAGTCAAGAATCCATTAGGCTAAGATTGTTCCCATTCTCCCCCATGGGAGACGCTACAACATGGTTGGAGGTGCTACCTCAAGCCTCCATCACTTAATGGAACAAATTAACCAAGGCTTTCCTAGATCGGTTTTTTCTACCCTCAAGAATATTGCATTTGCGTGATGAAATCACTAACTTTCTCTAATTGGCGGGAGAGCCTTTACATGAGGTTTGATTGAGGTTCAAAAAGAAAGTGTTCTTGTGTCCCAATCACGAGTTACCGGATGGAGTGCTCTTGCAATGCTTTTACCGATCACTAGACTCCATTAACAAGTCATCAGCAAACAACCTAACAGGTGGTTCACTCATGGATCGAACTTTCAAACTTGCAACGGCCCCATTGGATAGAATGACTAAAACTAACTGAGCTTGGAACACAAGGGATGTTAAGGTGATATCGGGTGTCAACTCCACTATCATGACCAATGAAGGAGAAAAGAGGAAGAAAGAGATGAAAACAGGGTTAAAATGATAACTCAAGTGGAGTTGTTTGCAAAGTACATAATTGGCACCAGAGTCAAAAGAGTGTGACAGCTATTGGAGCGCAAGGAGACAAATCCCTCGAGGAAGATAATGCATATGCATTGTTTGATGAGGAAGTTCAATACATAACAATTCAAGTGGCAGGTTCTCCCCCGAGGTACCAAGGTGCCAACCAAGGCTCTTGGCGACCTCAAGACAGGAATCAAGGTTGGAGAGACATGGATCGTGGGAGAGAGAGGGGGCTTACCATAGATAGTTTTCAAACGCTTGATAGTTAGTTAAAACCACAATTAAAAGATAATTGACACTGTGTTACACAAAAATAAATGAACAAAGAGTTAACATATAATTGCTCTTTGTGAAAACACCATAAGAATACATCCGATAATTAATGTGACGATCATTTCACATTTTAATGAGGATACCGCTAAGGGTAATGAACTTACCGTAGATGGCTTACAAATGTGAAGTCTAGAGGAGTGAAAAACAGAATTCATAACATGGAATGGAAAAAGAACCAAATAACCAAAAACACATTCTATTCAGCCGGCTTTAATACCTTGAATCAAGCTACTTCGCTGGTTCATAGTCGCAAGTTTTATTCAGCTTTCCTGCTACGTGTAGCCATTTAGCCATTTCATTTCATACTACACAAGCTATTTAGCTGAATATAAAACTGGACAAACCAGTCTTCAATCTTCTCTAGCACTCTAATGTACCATCCCAGATGGAATAACAAACACAGATTTCAATGTAGCATTGGCCGTCCCATTTCCACCACAGTGTGCTGGAGCTACAACAGCATGTTCCTTATAAAAGATCGGAATCTCGCTCTACCCTATATAATGCTGCTAATTAGAGAAGCTGAAAACCTACTGCTCTCGTATGGCTATACATACCCAACAGAACAAATGCAGTAGCAAAATTTGATCAACTAGAAATCCAGGGCCAAGCGCCCACAACGTATGTTACTGTTTCCTTTAGACATGTATACCATTCCCGTTGCAATAAATGCCATCTAATGATCCATTAGCCATCTTTGTCCCATTTACATATCGATGTGATTTTAGTCCTGACGTGCCATTGCTCAAACTCCATGTTTTGGGAACACCCTTCTTCAACAAAGTTTCAAGTTGCCCAGTTGCTGCGGCTATAAGTCCTGTATAAAAGAAAAAAACAAGATTATACAAAGAATCAGCAAAACTTCAAGAAAAAAACATGAAATGCAGATATATCTATAAGTCCAGCATCCAAATTAATAAAACGAATTCATCCATTTGGCTCCTCGTCCCCAGATATATGAAGCAGGTGAAATACCTAGGAACAGGGCAGAAGGGGTTCCTGGCCTTGATTTAAATTCTGGATGAAATTGAACTCCGATGAAGTAAGGATGATTTGGCAGCTCAACAATCTGTAGATGAAGCATCCCACAAGATCAATCAACCACAGCAACATAACTAGCTAGCATTATTTGTTAAATTTAATGGTTTAAGAGGTTGACCTCCATGCGGTGACCACTTTCATCTTTGCCAGTGAAAGAAAGACCAGCATCTTCAAGTTGCTGCACCATGTCGGGGTTCACCTAAACAGTAGCATGAGATAAGCTCTTTAGTCGTGAAGTCCATATAAGAGGGTAGTCCGCATGTAATTTTACAAGTCCACCTAACTTTGAAAATTGAAATAGCTAAACCAAAGTACCAAAGAGAAAGTGTCGCACCTCATATCTGTGTCGATGCCTCTCATCTATAAAGCTCTGGTTGCCATATCTGACACAAGATATATTTTATTCAGTTGGAGATGGCAAAAGGAAAAATTCCACCATATATGGTTTAGATGAATTATAGTATATTTATTATTGTGGATAAATGATGCTGATCCTCCCCACGCCTCCTCCACCCACAACAGAAGATTTCAAGAATGGAAGGAAAGAAACAACTTCCTAGCAGACAGATTCATTAGAATTGATGAGCAATGCAGGACTGTCTTTCAAATCTGCAAATGGCTTATATAGGCAACACAACCTGATGCATTGGTAGATGCTTAATCTGACTGTGAGTTATAGTACGGATTCAAAATAAAACCATTCAAACAAAGTGTACACTAAAAAGAGGGATTTACTAATGAAGGTTATAAGTGGTAGTGACTGAGCTTTCACTCAAAGCTTAACATATATTTTACGGTCATGCACATACTCAGGCTGATTTATTGAAAAAGTTACGAGGAAAAGAAGGAAAAGAGTGTTCTAATCAAAATTGACAGAGATGATGATTGTCATGCGGTCTCTTGAAGTCACATCACTGAAAAAACTGAAATTTAAACATCTGATACTTTGAAATATAAGACTCGATAATACCCAACTTTTGTTTACTTTCAAACAACTCCAAACCAAATACAGATGATCATAATTCTATTCAATCTAGAAGACAACATAGATTTGATACCAGCAATAGAATAGACACAAACATCAGCAAGTTAAGGGATTTTTCGTGGTACTAAGTTATCTTGCTTTTGCACTATCATCTTAAATGGTTATGAATTTCAACTTCCCTCGTGTCAATTAAAATCCCTTTGCAGTTTCACATTTCATCCTATGGAATAAGTAGAGGAAAGGAAGTACATACAATTTTGCAGATTTACAATCCGCAACTTTAAAATATGTTCTCCTAGATCCAAGACGCATCGTACCACCCATATGAGTTTTTGAACCCTGAGATCATATCACACAGATTAGAACTGAGAACTACTAAAACAAAACTAGAAACACAGGACAATCATGAGGGACAAGAGAGATAAAGGGAAAGCACTCTTTACCTCTGGCATAAAAATGACACAAGGATTCTGAGTGTTGTGATCAAATTCTGTACTGTTTGCATCTAGCAATCCAAGAATGGATCGAGCAAACTCAATAACAGCAATTTGCATTCCTAGACATATGCCAAGGAACGGAATCCTGTTTGCACGGGCATATCTAGCAGCGAGGATTTTACCCTCCACACCTCTGTCACCAAATCCTCCAGGAACTAGGATAGCATTCGCCCCCTGTAAAGTGAAGAGTAGTCCAACAAGTCAGAAACAATAAAATTGAAGACATGGATATAAAAAGAGTTGAATTTGGCCAAGATCATGTTATAGAGTAACACCACACAAACCTTCAACAACTTCCAAGCACTTCTATAATTCTCAGGATTCTGCATGTAGAAGTATCAGTCAGATAAGGAACAACCAAGACTAAAAGCAAGCAAACACAGCGGAAGCAAAATACCTCTGTAGAAGTTTCATCCTCAAGGTCACTGGCTGCAATCCAATCTATACAAAGTTTCCTGTGGCAAGCTACAGAGGCATGCACAAGAGCCTACACAAATAACTCGCAATGATTTAGATATTGACAACAAAAAGGAGAACTAATTTTTCGACTGATTGTTCTCAGCTATATAAAGGTAAAATAGAGGTGGAAATATATTGGCTTAAATGATAAAATATCCACCCGAAACAAAATAGGGAGCTCAAAATGAGATGGAGCACAGAGGCAACATTATTCTCCATTTTCAAACTCTGGCAGAAGAATCTAAGTCATTGATAAAACTGTTATGCCTGATGATCACTTTTGACAAAACTATATTGTAGAAAATAACAATTAAATGAAAATAGGTGTAGGAGCAAATACAATAAGGAAACCTCCTCTTTATATATTTGAGTACAGTATAATTACCTTCAGTACAGAGAGGTATGCATCTGAAAGACCGGTGTACTTTCCTACCATGGCTACTCTAACCTGTAAATTCAGATGGAGATATTTATGAAAGTTGTGATGCAAATTGAGGGACTAAATTCCAAAAAGGAAGATAGAATACATTTCATATATATATATATATATTATAGAATATTATTTATTTATGTGTATATATATATCACAGAACCTACAGGCTCTTGTAGCTTGTCACAGAGGGCAGCCCGAGATGTCCATTCTCCCAAAGCAGGTTCTTGTGCAACACTGAAAATGAAATAATAAATTCATCATCATACAAGAGATGGCACAAAATCACAAAGTAGAAAAAATGAATATTGAATACTCCTTGTCATCAATCAATGTATGCAACCGAAACATACCCTTTAAGGTTCAGAACTTTCAGAATTGCTTCATGCGCCTTCTGATCCTAAATACACAAAAGATTTTCTTTAAAGCTTATAGTAAAGATGTTATGTAGAAATACATAAAAAAGAAGTGTGCCAAAATTACGTACTCTTAAAAGCAAAGGAACGCGCCAAATGTTTGAGACATCATAAAGAGTAATAATGTTATCTAGCTGAAATAAAAGATATATAGAACCTGAGCACCAAGAATTGAGAGTTGAGACCTAAACAAGATTAGCTCTATAGAAATAAAGATTATTTGGTCATAATACCGGGACATGGCAAAACCGGGAAATTTTCTCCTTGACATTCTCTTCTAGTTCCTGAATAAATAGACCAACTTCAAGAACTGAACTTGATAAACATATAGATATATGTGTCCCAAAAGAAAGGGGAGAAGAGACAAACCGTTGTGCTCCGGCATGCTAAAATGTTGGGAGTCAATCCCAGGCTTCTCAAACCTCTAACACTGTGCTGAGTAGGTTTTGTTTTCTGAATTTCAAAATAACAAAATACGCAATCTGAGTGATTACTTTAATAAAAGATATCCACATGACCCAGAAATAAATTTACCTGCTCACCAACTACACTCAAAACAGGTACAAGGCTGACATGTATCAAGCAAAAATTACCAGCACCTAACAAGCAAAAGTTGATGAATAGATGTTAGTTGCACTTAATTTTTAGAAGGTACTAGGCTGAGTCAATTCAAGATTTGCACATCATAGAGCACAACTGACAGTGACATCATTTGATTGTCAAGAAATCAAGTTTAGACGAGTAAACCTTACCAACACGATATGAGAATTGTCCTAATGCTTCAATAAATGGCATTGATTCAATATCTCCTGCATTAAGGAACAAAATTACTTTTAAGAAAACACGTATCATTTGACAATTTACCCTGCTCATGTGAAAAAGTTGTTCAGCATACCTATTGTGCCACCCAGTTCTATGACACAAACATCTGGTGGGCCATCCTTGCCATCAACTGGTATGACAGCCACACGTTCTATCCACTCTTGAATGGCATCTGTAATGTGAGGGACAACCTAGAGAAGCGACAGACAGACGGTAAGAGCATAAATATTGGAAGAAATGACTTAAGTAATTTTCTGGAAAGGTGGTAAACCTGAACAGTCTTTCCCAAATAATCCCCTCTTCTCTCCTTATCAATAACAGACTGCAAAGCCAAAATAACAAAGCAGTTTCTCAACTTAACATTTTCTATCATAATCTATGAATATCATCTAGCATACATCAATAATCTGATAGGGAATTATAGTGGACATGCCTGGTAAATTTTCCCAGTAGTTATATTGTTGTCACCGGTCAACTTAATATCTAGAAAACGCTCATAGTTTCCAAGGTCCAGGTCCACCTGCAAGTGAAAAACAAATCTCGATATCAGTGACGTACAAACAAACAGTTTGTACTTCACCTTAAGTGAAATTGAAGTAGCAATCCAAAAGCTTTAATTTTACAAGGAAAACAGGTAATACTAAAAAGCAAAACTATACACCAAAAAAATTTAACTTTCAAATATCTGTACTTTAACAGTACCTAACAGAAAACACAACCAAATCATTAATCAGCAACTTGAGTAACATGTTTTAGTTTAAAATTAGAGAGTCCAAAATAATGTAAGAAATCATTAACATGAAAGATTTATGTCTAACCTCTCCACCATCATCCAAGACATACACTTCTCCATGCTCGAAAGGAGACATTGTGCCAGCATCAGTGTTCAAATAAGGATCTGAAATTGAAAAAGGAAGAAAGGAACAGTAAGTAGACATTTTATATACAATTCTTCCACCTCATTTAGACTATACCAGCAATTGAAGTAAACAACAGCACACTGTACTTGTATAAGAAAATCCGTTAAGAAGCAAAAAAGGAGGATCCATTTCCTAAGAGACAGTTTTTTTCAATCTAGAGAGAGGAACACAGGAACTACAACTCAGCTAACAATAAGTTTATAAGAACCCATGTAAAATTGGGGAAAAAGAAGAAAGAAAAACAATTTGTGGCTGAAGCTGAAAACAAAAAACAGAAAACTTTTGTTGCTTAAAACAAGTAATACTTCTTCAAATTTTCTGAACATGTTTTGCAAAAAATCAAAAAATTTAAAGAAACATAAACTTGAAGTCTTGACCAAAATTATTCATTAGAGAAACGCCATCTTAAAGTTTTCCGGTGTCTTATCGGCAGATAGTTTGACTAGAACAGCCAAAAGGAAAATAACTTTTTTCTTCAAGGTTCGAACCCTTTGCGAATCTGAGTGGAGAACACAGCTTCTACCATCAGAATTCCCCTCCCTCATTTATCCAACAATGTCTAATTTCATAAAGTATATACCAGATAAGAGAGGAACTATCAAATATTTAAAGTCATTGAGTTGGCTTTCTATTTTTTAAAAAGAATTCTTTTTTTTTTACATATATAAGCATGAGTTCGAGAGCAGTATCGATTCTTTGGTGCATTGTTGATTTAGAAATGAGATTGAAGAAGAATGAGGCAAAAAGCAGAGACCAATCTTAATGGAGGTAACACGAAGACCGCAGGCCTTAAGAATAAGACCAATACTGCTGGCAGTGACTCCTTTACCGAGCCCACTAACAACTCCTCCTGTCACCAACACGTACTTCATTTCTTCAGCTACTCTATAAACAAGAAGAAGAAAAAGGACCCATTAGCAATCCTTCAGAAACAATGTTTGCTCTGGGGTGGTACAATAAACAAGCCAAGAATTGGGAACAAACATACCTACAAGGAAAAGACTTAGGCCAGGAAACTTTTTCTCAAATTAAGAATAGTATGAAACGAAGCAACCTTATCCAATAAAAGGCGTTTCTTTTTTCATAAGAGAAAGGGAAAAGGAGGTGCAAAAAGCATGAGTGAGAATGGGGTGTATGTGAAGATGCAATGGCGACTTTATATAGTAAAAATATGAGGGCGGAGGCTAATAGAGAAAGGAGACAAGGATATCACAACTCTTTTTCAAAATTCTAAAACCTCCCCAAACCCTGCCACCCTCACTTGTTTTCCTCTTTTTATCAAAAAAATAATGAATAAACAAAAACAAAAGAAGTAAAAGCAGAAAGAGAAAATACATTTAAAAAATAAAATAAAAAGTATATTTAAAAAATATCTTAATGCTCAATTGATTGTTTTCTGATCATATATTTTATCGTAAAGATTCAACTCTCAATATTGTCTTTTCCTCTCCCATTTATTAATAACCTATATATTTATTTTTAAAAAGAGAAAAAGTTGATGTAAAACGTAAAAATTGAGACATGTGATGAATCGAATTGGATCAGACCAAAGGAGAAGTAGGTAAAAGAAGAAAAGTGAAACCGAATGTAATATCCAATAAAAATAAAATAAAGTTACGTAACATGTAGAATGTTCAAATTTTATAAGAGAGAAAATTGTTGCAAAACGTAAAAATTGAGACATGTTAGAGTTCTGGTCGGGCCAAAGAAGAAAAGTGAAACTAAATAGAGTACACAATTAACAAAAAAAAAAAAAAAGTTAGGCCACAAGCTGAGTGTTTAAGGTTTGAATAGAAATTCATCTAAATTGTAAAAATTTAGACATGTGAGGAATTGGGTCAGACCAAAGGAGAAGTAAGCAAAAGAAGAAAAGTAAAACTGCAATAAAAATAAAATAAAGTTAGGCAATATGTAGAGTGTTTAAAATTTTTTAAGAGGGAGTTAATGTAAAATGTAAAAATTGAGACATGTTAAATTCGGATCGAGCCAAAGGAGAAGTAGGCAAAAGAAGAAAAGTGGAACAAAATGGAATATCAAATAACAAAAAGTTAGGCCACAGACTTAGGGCGTGTTTGGTATGAAGCAAAATGTTTTCTATGAAAATGTTTTTCTGAAAAACAAATAGATTTTGAACTTATTTTTTCATGTTTGGTTAGTGAGTAGAAAATATTTTTCGGAAAAGATTTTTTTAGTGTTTGATTAATGAATGAAAAATATTTTTGAGAAAATATCTTTTATTTTTACTAGAGAGTAGAAAATAATTTTTGAATTGAAATTGAAAATATTTTTTAAAAATAAACATAGATTTTTTTGGGGGTGGGGGTGGGGTG